TTTTTTTTTTAATTTTTTTTTTTTTTTTTTTTTTTTTTTTGATAATTCACCTGATTCAACGAAGTTATAGTGTTTTCCTTATGCATCATCGTGGAATCCGGTGGTGTCGGACTGGTCTTTTGTTTTTTCTGATGGGGTTTTCTCGTTGGTTTGCTAGGGACTGCTCGTTCATGACTTAGATCTTCGCTGTCGATCGGGACAAATCGATTTCCATAAGCGGCTATTAGAAAACCCACTTATATTACTCAATATCCATAGGACATAATATTGAAACTGTCGACTAGAGATTGAAAATATAAAACGTTGGAAATAAATAACTCTTACCTGCTCGATCAGTATAGAGACTTTCCCCCGAATTTGCTGGTGCCGAATCTAAATTCGCGTTTCGTTGCCGATGGACGGAATTGCTTAGTCGTAAATACTCCTCGCTGCTAATTTGTTCCTTTGTACGGGATTTTACAATTATTTGTGTTTCCGCTTGCGAATTTCCCGCTGTAACACGCGGATTAACGTTATTTCCTGTTTTTCAAAGATACATCGATTCATTTATTTACCTATACACGCGTAAACGCCAGCGTCAGTGGATATTATGTCCTTTATTTTCAACGCTCCCTTCCTGCTAATCTTGTACTTTCTCGATTTCTTTAATTTTCTGTTATCCTTGGCCCACGTGATCAGCGCTCTGAAAATATTTCTATTTTGTTACGAGTCTGACGATGACATGTTTTTATTAGGAAGGCTAATATTAAACTGGGAACTCACTTGTCAAATTTTCTAACGGGACAGCGAATCTTAATCGAAGATATGCCGTGAAAGACTTCCGCGATACCGCCGATCTTTAAGTCTACGTTTGCGTTTAAGTCTGTCTGGTTATACGTGGTGTTTTGACTGGTAATTATAGGCAGGGATCCCGCATCTATAGTGTGACACTCTCTGGTGTTGCAAGGCTTCTTCGAGGCAGGCTTTGGAGACGGGCATTCATGTTCCTCCCGACTTTGTGTGTGCCCCTGGGCCATTACCTGTTCGCAGGTCACTTCACGTACCCTCACGCCTACTCCACAAGTTTTCGAGCACTGAAATCAACATCGATTATGCTTAATCCCTTCTCCTAGTGATTCTCATATTTGCCTCGATTAAATTTCATTCAACCAAGAGCAAATAATAATTATCCCGAATTTTCGTTCTATCTCACTACGATCGCGACGTCCCTGTTCTAATAACGCCTAAATTTCCGAGAAGCTGGATTTTAATCCAATGAGTATCGAAGTCAGGGTTAATCACGACAAGCAGCTGTGAACTCAGGCACCTATCCAGAGGCAATCGCATCATTTAATTCACTGAACAGAGGTAAAGTACCTTACTCCAGTCGCCGGTACTCCATTTAACCGGGCAATCTAATACATTGCAGTATTGTCTGTCCGCTGGTAGTGGCTGCGGGCACATGTAGTTTGGCACCGTATTACTTGTGCCACGTGTCACCTCGTGTATGCATGTGACGTCGCGAGTCTGTATGCCGATCCCACATGGGTTATTGCACGGTAAAAATTCGCTGAAATTCCATCTGTGGGCAAAAATCGACCACAACCATCGATTAACCACGAATAGAGCGATACTCGATCGTAAATTAAAACTATCATTCGATAAGAATCTTCGCGTATTTTTATCTCGTTTTCACGACTGAGATACGAACGGGATTAATTTAAGATGATTTAAAAAGCGTTACGGTTAAGCTTCTTTTCCAAGTATCGATGTGTTTTTACCTAGGCGGGCAAGGGTGGTCGTTGCAAACCTTTATCCTAGCTTCCGGTTTCGTTTCACCGGTGCAGAGGAAAGGCGTGACAGTCTTCTTATTGTCGTCTCGTATGCAATTGACAATCAGTTCCTGGATACCTGAAATGTTAGTCGCTGGATAAAATAGATAGGCGTTAGCGTTTCCGCGTCGAATAAGTCGATGAGGATCGCGTCACTTTAATCTATCGGTCCGATGCGATTCAATCGGCTAACTCGTCGCCGAGCACCGTTAATTGTACAATCGCGTCGAATTATCCTGGCTAATTAAGCGTTCTATGCGGAACGAACCTAGATTCGTTCCGTTAATTCTACTGATCTGATCCCCGATAATACCCTGACTTACGTTTGCAGCTGATTAGAGTCAGCCGAATATAGTGTTTATAGAACAGGAGACAGGTAATTCGATTAAAAGGATTCTCCAAGCATGGGTATTAACTGCGAGGAAATATTTTGATCGAATTAGCAATGGTTTGTTCCCTTTACCGAAGAAATATCACAGTTTTCGAAGTTGCTTCGCGGGTCGAACGCGCGACGATCAAGAAATGTTCGCTCCCTCCGTGCTCGACGTCGCTTTTGAAATTTCGTGTTTCCCCTGTGAATTTGCATTCCATTTCCATCCCGTTGCACCGTTAAATTTCAAGCCTCGCAGACTTGTCCCAGTTTTACTTCGCGCAATTCACAAAATTCCCTTACAACACCCGTCTCGCCTTAGCGTTTACACGCGTTTAATTTTCACTGTTGCGAAACAAGTTATGGAACAGAATATCCCTTACCACCGAGGCAAGTCGCGCTGCAAGGGGTGTAACCAGTTTCCTTCCACGAGTAGGTGGTTTGCACGTCGCTTCCTGGGGCCACCTTAATTCCAGAGTCGTAGCCACTTCCGCTCGAACCTCCCGCTGTCGATCTGTAAGTGTCCGTCAGGCTTGGTTCCGCGTATCCACTGTCGCCGACAGTGTCGATGCCATAGATCAGGCTGTTTTCGATGATGTTGCACGCTCTCAGCACGCATTTCTCTTTCTCCACGGGCTTCGGTCCCGAGCAATTATGATCTGGCAGGTTGGCGAACGTTTTACTGAACTCCAGGTATATCCTGCATTGGACTTTCCGTTTCTTGATCCCTTCGCCGCAGGTGACGCTGCACGGTGACCATTGCTCCACGATGAACCTGCAGAGTCGTTGGTTCGATGATTCGGATCGGACGAAACGTGTCCGAGACGGCTTCATTTTTCACGGATAAATCGAGTTATAGGAATTTTCGGATTATCACGGTTAATCGCGAAACGATCTGCTCATTTGTCCCGTGATCGGTACGGATAAATAACCGTTGATTATTCGAGAATTACGTTTAGATATGCGCCTTTCATTTCCCGTTTCTCTGTCATTTAACGCGATTCAGTCGGGTACCTATTCAAACTTACCGACGAGTACCTCCTTTGTCCACCGATCAATGATTTCTCGCTCATGTTCCCAATTTGTTTTAGCGTACCAGCGAGCTTTGACTATCTCGATTGTACGCGTTGCCATTCGATCGTCTCGCAAATAGATCTTTAGTCTAACGTTACGTGGGAAATGAAATAATATCAAAGGACAATACGCGGACCGTAGTGATATTTTCTGTTTTTTCCTTCTTTCTCTTTGGAAACCGCGAGTACTTACGTATACGGGATATATCTATATTTAATTTCGTCGTAAATCTTGCGTGTACATTTCCATGACACGCGATTTTTATTCTCCGGATGAAATTTGACCGAAACTCGTGTAGAATTTGTCTGACAAATACCGAGATGGGTAGTTGGAAAGAGAAAATAGGACAAGTTTTACGCTGTAAATTATGCATGCTAAGCCTACAATGCAGTGGTGCAACGCGGGTGAAAAAAGGAGAAGAAAAAGGAGGGAAAACATAATCGAAGAAGCAAAGGAACGAACGGGATGGTCTACGTGTAACATCATCGTCGTAAGTCCATGGTAATGCTGGTTGTACGCCATCCGCGTTATGAGCTAATTAAATCACGGTAAATCTCGTAATCTCCATAAATGCATTAGGAGCAACAGCCAGGAAAAAGTTAGCTAAGAAACAGGGAGATTAAGCTCCCGGAATTTAAAGCGGAGAAGAGACATTTAAGTTGGAAAACTGTTGCGCGTGAGCAGAAAACGTCCCTGTCGCGGGTTGTTATACCATTATTTCCTATGGGCCGGGGAAATTTTCATTTTGTCAAGCGAGACGGTGCGAAAAAGTTACACGTACACGTTGAAAGTGTATGTTCCGTGTCAGGGAACCGCGACAGGCGTGCTTTTTCCACGGGCCTATATTTCCGCTGACCCTGCTACACGGCGCAAAGAGGAACCGAAAATCTCTGTAACTCCAAAGGAACGAAGAGAGGAAACGAATCCGGGATAGAATTCTTCTAGGCTAAAGTTGGTTAAAAGAAGGGTCAATAAACGAAACGGGGAAAAGGGAGCGAAGCGTCCGATGGAAAGTCATCAGGACGAGGACGCCGAATGCTTCTAAAACTCGCTTAACCCTGATTTCATTCGAAAAGGAGAAGCGTCCTCGGACTTCGCAGCTTTGCGGTGAGTTATAAAAGCGTGCGAAGAATCTACGAGAGAGTACAGAGCACGTGGGGTTGGAGAAGAGGGTACCGGTGGTGGCGATGGTGACGGGGTTGGCGGAGGTGGCGGTTAACAAGGAGGAACAGAGAAACATTAAGAAAGGGGAAAAAGGAGGAGGCGAACATCGGTTTGCTTTGCTCTTTCCTGGAAGCAAGAAGCGTCGGACGGGGGATCTTGGAATGGGGTAGCGGAAAGAAAGGAGTCGGAGGTAAGAACTTGGGAAGAACAAAGAAGAAGAGAGCAGGGAGTGAGAAAGAGAGAAGAATGGAACGAGAGCGGGTGGGTGTGAATGAGAGGGAAATCGTAGAAGTTAGAAGAAGAGAAAGAAGAAGAAGAAGGAGGAGAAGAAGTGGGAAAGAAAGGGAAGAGAGATAGAAAGTAGAAGAGTTAAAGTGATAGAGAGTAGAAAGAGACACAGTAATGGGATACCTCAGATACAAGCAACCAGAGGCAAAGTAGATCGTATATCTGTCAGGACAGAGCAATCGACGTCAAGAAATGAATGCTTTTAAAAAGGAAGATTTTCTATCTAGCTTGTACGAGTTTTGTTATTTCGTTGAGGGGAGATCTGTGTGTAACATTATAAATATCCAGAGCCACGGGCCGGCCGGCTGATATTACCATATCGGTGTAAATGTGTTCGCGCGTGTGCGTTTATCAATTTTCAGAGAAGTTACTTACGTGGATTCGAAGGGTATCGGCTGGTCGATCAATTTTTCTGACACCGATGGAGGTGGGTACGGTTGCATCAGCGGCTGCCTCATTTCCTCTCCGACTAAAACGAAAATTTCATCGGTCGCAAAAATCTCTTTGCGACGGAAACTCGTGCGACGAAGACCATCGGCGAGGATCGTCGTGGCGCTTCGAATAGTGCATGCGAGGAATCAGAAAGGCCGTTGAACCCCTATCGAATGATACGGGGAAACGGTGGTGCTGTTGCATAGGAATGCACCTTATAAAACTTACATATCGGACAGGGGATATTTGTTTTACACTCTTGCTCGGTGTGCGGTCGTTCGGCAGGCTCGCAGTCCTTTGAGATCGAACCAACGGCGTCCCTGCACTCGATTGTCCTCGTTCTGACTCCGGTCCCGCAGGTCGTCGAACACTATCGATCACAACGGGAAAAATAAATTTCACGCTGCCATTCCGAAACGAGGACAACAGTTACTTGATAATCCGATCATTTATTCTCGATAACCTAGGAACAACGGGGGATGCGAGGTTGCGAAATTACCAACGACCTTGGACCAATGAACTTGGTGAACCGTAGAAACGAGGTATGCATCTGGAAACGCGCATACGAACGACAAGTTCCATTTTATGCACCGCTTTTCATTTTCAACCTTTTATTTCGGCAAATGTGAACAGCTTTAGTTGGAACACGCCTTTCACGCCAAGGAGGGAATACGAAGCGAGATAATACCGAGAAGTCGGTGCAGGATAAAGTCCATAGAAATAGGGGAAAACACGAAGGAAAGGCAGAGCGGAGGAACAATAAAGTTTTGCGACGCCACTGTGGAATCTAATTTCGTATACTAACTGGTATTTGCAAAGTTCCATTCTAACGTTCAAACAATTTAAAAGGTTCTTCCAGAACGACTCGAATCCTTGAGGATCGTTATCGAGGTCTACCGCAGGATTTTCAGGCTTAAAGAGAAAACGAGGAAAGAAAGAAAGGACATTTCTAAATAGTAATCTTTTTGCAAAAAATAAGACTTCAAAGAGTCTTCAAAGATACGTTTCCCAGGTTTCGAAAAAAGAATTTCCTGCTTCGTTATCTGTCGAATGTGTGGGTCTCACGTACACGCGCCATGACATGCAGAAATATCGAACAAATTTCCTCTCGGCGTGTTGTAAATCCGGAAACAAAGCACAGTGGGTCGGCCTCCAGGCTTCCTGTCACGGAAAATACGAAGTAATTGCTTCCGTTGATCGCTCGTGACGTAAGAACTCTTCTTCTCAGACATTTCGTTACGGTTTGCGAGCTGTCAGGTGTAACGTCGTGATAATACGATGAAGAGACTCGAAATTAACAGTCAAATTGGAATAAGGAAACCGTTGTAATAAATGACGTCGTCGATCTATGTTTTGATAAACACTCCATCTTTGCCACTTCTTGCGTTCGAACAGAAAAATCGGATTAAGAAGAACGATCGGGAGTTTAATCGAATTGATCAACGCGGAGACTGAATGATTGAAATCTTCCCGCCCGACATACTGACTTCCGTATTGCCTGCTCTTTTATCCGGACCGATCAGATTCGCTTTTATGTCGAACCAAATCGCAGCCGAATCTCAAGTGGCAGGTACCATTTTCAGCGTGCCGCTTCTCACCGAGTGGAAGAGGCGAAAAGAGCGAGGAAACGGAACGTCTCGTTCAAGGTGGTGCGGTGGTGGTCTCGAACTTCTCTCAGCCAGAATAAAGTCTGTTGATCGGGAAGGTAAGAACCAGGAACGGTCTGAGCGGTTTAAAAGCGCGAGCGAGAAGGAAGATGAACAAAAAGTCCGGATACCGGATCTATCGTTCAAGACGTCGAAGGTGGAAAGGTGACATGAACGGGAAAAGCGGAAACCCACTCGACTTAGCCACTCTGCCTTCTCCTTTGCCCTCGCTGTTTGCTTCTGTACTCGTTCTATCGCTCCACGCATCGATCCTTCTTCCTTTCCTATTTATTTCTATTTTCTTTTTCCCCCTTTCCACGCTTTCCGATCCTTTATCAGTCCAACTTGTCCATCGTTTACTTTCTCTCATCCTTATTATAGTGGATCAAATAAATCGCGCACTTTTTTAGTCACCCTCGCTCTTGTCTCACTAATACGTCTCTTGGTCATACTACTTATGTCTTGTACACATTGCGCTCTAACCATCGATCCTCCTTGTATCTGTTCCTTTTGGCAGTATAACTATACTTCGTCAAGCGATTCGTTCCTCTTGAGAATTACTATTTTCGTTTTCTTACCTCTATCTCCTTTTTCCTCCACTTTGCTTTCACTTCGTCCTCCTCGATTCTCCTTTCTCCTCTTATTTCCCTTCTCTGTTTTTCAACTTCCGGTCTCAGCATATATTCCCCGTGTTCCCCTTTCCTCCATCCCTACTTCCCTTTTCAGAAGCATCGAGGAGGTCCGATATCGTGGGAGTGCTTTAAGGAGCCCTGTGCTTTCAGTTCAATATTTGCATGGCTCCTGAGCTCACAAAAGAGAGAAATCTATCAATTCCTGTCTTCCGGTGGTGGCTCCTTCGCCCTCTCTTTCTCCGTCTCCCTCTCTCTCTCTCTCTCTCTCTCTCTCTCTCTCTCTCTCTCTCCCTCT